TGGGTGGGTGGACAGATATGCATCTAAAGCACTTTTTGCTTGTCCTTGAGTTCCTGAAAGTGGCAGGTTGTGAAGGCATGGAGAATTCTTTGATCTTCTGCCCTGTTGATTTCTCTGAAAGAAATCCGAATGACAGAGGACTTCCGTGCTCACCATGGACACAGCATAGCAGGAGCTGAGCTGAGCTGACCTCTGCTTGCTGTCCATGGGGGATGCCTCCATTGGCCCAAAGCAGACTTCTGCCCACGGTTTCTACGTCAAGCCACGTAAGAAAACAGCAAAGTCCTCTTGGGATGGTCTCTTTGTTCTGAACCCTGCTTTTGTGTCTCTGGCCAACAAGAAGATCTGTGACTTGTTCGAATATGAACAGATTGCGTCAGATGTAATCGGAAACAGCCGGAAGCTGTGTCCTGCCTGGAGGGCTGTAAAAAAAGGAGTAATTTTCCCAAATTGTGCAAGCATTTTTCATCCTAGCTTCCACTCCTCCACATCTATCAGGGTGTGGTCAGAAGCATGATTCATGACCCATTTCTTTCCTCATCTCCCTCTTTCTGAAATGATGCATGCTCAAGAAATCAAATTTATTCAGTGAAGTGTCATGACAACTGGTTGGGGCTTGCATCTGGAATAGAACATATATTCTATAGGCCTGTGGCCACAGAATAATTGTAAAACTAGTGAGAGAGATGTGTAGAAGGGCTGAGTGAAGGTGGGGATCTTTCTAAACCACCCCAAGGATCCATTTTGTCATGTGACCAATTTATATTGAGATTCCCAAGAGCCAGGATTTGGGGGGCTAAAACGTTGGGTAAAATCAAATAACTGGGAAAAGGGACGCCCGACCCAAGCTTTTTGAGATGGGCATACCAATCTGGAGAAGGGGTGCCTATCAAAAAAGTCCTGGGACATTTCTCCAAGGGGTCTTTGCACTGCTCCTTAATCTAGGCCTGTGTGATTTCGCTTGATTGTCTGTGCTGATTTACTGCCAGCTCAGCTGCGATGTATGTGGAACCGTATCAGAGCTGACCCTGGCAATCCAAGACTTGGGAGGGCCCATGTACCCATCACTTGCTTCACCCTGCCTTTCCCTTTCCCAATCAGAGGGCTAGCTGCCTTGATAGCATGATCATTTCACGGGTCTTCCAAGTGTGACACAGCAGTAGGGCTATGACGGCTTTGCAGCTCCCCCTCAGAACATCCATCCAGATTTCTGCAAATCAAACTTATTCCGGAGTAAAACTGTGAAGGGGTGGTGATAGAGTGCCCTTCTTGGCGGTTTTTTCTGTTGATCTCCCAAAGGGAGACAGGGATCCGCTCCCGTGTGTTCTGAAGGATTGAAGGTTGCCCGATATGAACATGGTTCCAGATAAGCTTGAAGTCATTCTGGAGGACTGGAGTCTTTCCCACAGTTTAGGCCAGTGTTTTTCAAACTTGGCAACTTTCAGATGGGTGGACTTCTACTCCCAGAATTCCCCAGCCAGCCTTGTTGGATGGAGAGGAAGACCTCGGACCAGCTGTCCACCCCAGTCTGGTGTCTTTGGGAGGGGATAGTAGTTGTTAGAAGTTGTGAACACCAACCCACAATTCTCCATGTGGTTCTAACTTGCCCAAAGTTGTACTGCTCACAATGTTACACAAAGCACCATCAAAGAAACACGTTGGATCCAGGCCAAAGACACCTCCATTGAAATGAAGGTTCATTAACCCGATTCATTGATTGATTCTCCCTTTTCCGTTTCTTTTTTAGGACTGTAGCCTTTTCTATTCCAAAAGGTTTTGCCTCCCCTGCGTGAACTCGCACATAAACGAATTTCCTTTGGAAATAGAAGAAGATTTGAAAAAAAAAGCACACTCAAAATCTTCAAAAAAAGGAGATTCCAAGGATTTGAAGAAGGACTAGCCTGTTTTTACTGCCGGATGTGCTTTTGTTAAATGGAATAAGAACAGTATCTTTTTCATCTCTCGTAGAAGAATGGCGTTATTTTGATTCGTTGCAAAATTCAAGCTTCCACCTTGTGCCTACCTGGCAGGAAAGCACGGCGAAGCAGGAGGGCTGGCTTTGAAAATAAATGTCCAGGGCCGCGTAGTTGAAAAAGGAAACAGGCCTGAAATAAACTAGCCAAACCTGATTTCTCTGTTCAGAAGGACTGAGATAGAGGAAGGAAGAGTTTCGTCCTTGGTCATTCATATTTCTGTTTTAAGTAGGGGCCGGCTTCAGACCAATCCTTCTGCAGCTCCACCAGCTTCTGTGAGGTCCAGATTCCACCTCCCATTTCCCACGGAGGCCTGGATTTGCTCCATAGCTGCAGGATACGGTCAAAAAAGTCACAATGGCAGCCACAACAGTGCAAAGTCCAGCCTGGTTTTTACGTGCATCGCCACCATCTTGACTTTTTTGACCCCCCCTGCAGACCCCCAGGATAGACCACTTTCTGCTACTCCCTTGTTGTGTTGCTCTGCAGCCCACAATGGGTTGTCTGAAATAAAAAAGGTAAGCTCGTTCTTCAGCCGAGCTTGATGCCTACACCCATGAGACGTGTCCCCAGTGTTTCCTTTGGGGATGTTTTTTCAGCTTCCTAGTCTAGTATTCACCAGGGGATTTCCTGGTGGTCTCTGATCCAAGGACTAACCAAATCTGACACTGCTGAGCTTTCTGGAGTAGCCATTTCCCTGTGCCCTGGCTTTATGGCCAGGAATTTTAGGGCAAGATCTTTGAAAATGTCATTGTCACATAGGTTGATAACCGCCAACAACAGAGATCTCTGCTTGGTTAACGGCCTTTGGAGGCAACACAGTGGTTGGAAACCTACAGAAACGCACTGATTTTCCAGTTTTGTCCTAGTTCACCGAGGAACTGGCGTAGCCTTAAACGGTTCCTTACAAGGTTGGCCTAATGTTTGATTGAAGGGGGGAGTAATCCATTAAGAGTTGCGTTTCGTTTTGAAATCAGTCTGTTGCAAAAGGTGAAACGCAAAAGGTAAGACTATGTTTGGATCTGATTACAAAGACAAAAGTGCATTATAAAACTTAGTTACTGATTTTTTTGGGTTTCCCTCCAGCTTCCCAGTAAGCGTTTAGGGAAGTTATCATCTGGGAGGGCCCTTGTTTTCCTAAGACAGTGTTGTCCAAACTTGGCCACTTTAAGATGAGTGGACTTCAACATGGCTGGCT